CATGCATTTGCAGATGAATAACAAGCTTTGGTTCTGTAGTGGGTGATCATGTAGCTGACCTGGTGTGGGAGACATGGTCCTTGGTGGTGTCACAGAGATGCTGCTTCCTGCAGCTGTACCAACCCACTGCTCTTCTGAGCATGCCACAGCAGATTCACTGTCAGGTATGTCTCGTGTGCCAGATAATCAGCACAGCAGTACTTGAAGACAGGTACAATTAGCACACTACCAAACTGCCCTTCTAATGCAGTCTTCCAAAAAACATAGAGCATAACACAACAGATCTTTCCAGAACAAGAAAGTTATTCAGTCACCACCATATAAGAAGGTAATAAACTATTAGAGAGTGTCCAAAGAGGGCAACAAAGATGGTGAAGGACTTTGAGGAGAAGCCATATGAGGAGTGGCTGAGGTTACTTGGCCTATTCAGCCTGGAGGACACTGAGGGGAGACCTCACTGCGGTTACAACTTCCTCATGAGGGGAAAGAGGAGGGGCAGGCACTGATCTCCTCTGTGGTGACCAGTGACAGGATCTGAGGGAGTGGTCTGAAGTTGTGCTGGGGGAAGTTCAAGTTCAATATTAGGAAAAGGTTTTTCCCCCCCAGAGGGTGGCTGTGCTCTGGAACAGGCTCCCCAGGGCAGTGGTCACAGCACCAGCCTGACAGAGTTCAAGAAGTGTTTGGCCGATGCTCTCGGGCACATGGGGTGACTTGCAGGGATGGTGCTGTGCAGGAGCAGGCGTTGGACTTGACGATCCTTCTGGGTCTCTTCCAATTCAGCACATTCTGTGATTCTGTAATACTGTGCAATGCACAGGGGAAATTTCACTCTAAATACTCTGAATTTCAGGACTGAGCTCTCCAGTTCAAGAAAGATGAAATCAAATGTTAATGAAGAAAATTATTATGAAGGTCTTTGTAAAAAGGAGAGAATCAAATGTTAATGAAGAAAATTATTATGAAGGTCTTTGTAAAAAGGAGAGCCTGTATCTAAGAACTGGCAAAAAGATAAATAGATAATAGATACAGAGATTTAACCTAGGAGAGAGGAAAAATTATGAAATATTAAAAAAATAATATTGTCCTGTAAGGGGAAAAGAAATGAACTGGCCAAATTTAAACATGAACAAGATATTAGAAGATGGTTCCTCATTTTTACAATGGTGAGATCCTTTCCAGCTAGAACAAAAAATTTAACTGCTTTTATGATGAGATTTAAACATGTTCATGAAAGTCATGATACCACATCATACCAGTGTAATCTGAACTGTCAGACTCAAGCTGATCTTTTCAGTCCTGTGCTCATATGTACCTATACAGACCCAGACAAACTTCCCTATCAAAAGCAATATATGAAGTTCAGTATCTGGTGGAATACCACATACTGCACTTCAAAACCATATGGGATTCTTGGACAGGCTTCAGGTTAATAAAAAATGTTTTTTTCTAAATTGCACATCTCAGAATAATTCTTTTCTATACTAATGACTCTTCTGACACAGCACAGTGCCACAGAGGATAAATCCCCCTTCCAAAATTATTCACCATTTCTAAATAGACATGGTACATAGACAGCCTTGGCCATATTGCTCCCGTATCACACATCCTTACCAGCTACTTGCCACGTTCTTAAATCATCCTACTCCTTATTTTTCAATGTTGACACCAGCACCAATTGTACTTCTGATGCTTCATGAGATACTTCCTCCAGGTACTGGTTATTTCTGCAACTCTGTTATTCCAATACTAGCATTTTTCTGGGCAGTTCACCCACATGAAGATTATAACATCTTGTTGTGGGATACTGTGGTGATGCAGATTTACTGCTTTATTTTTGAGACAGGGACCTTCAGAAACCTGGCTATTTAGGTTTCTAAACATCCTGCATTGGGTACTGTTTCTACTCAGAGCACTACTATATACTGTGTCTTAGTAAGCTTAACTCAGGAGTTAAGCAAAAAGGCAAATTCCAAATTCTCCTGCTTTTTGGAGAGCTCACAGGTATCATGCTAATTCCTCATGACATATCCTGAGCCTATCCCTTTTCAGCACAGTGCAGACACTTTGTACCTAACTTTACAGCCAGCAAGAGGGAAGGAAAATGGAGAAGCCACAGAGCCAGTGATACTCAAGCCTACTCCAAGCCTAATTACCACTTTGCAGTGCAGTGTGAAATACAGAAACAAAAAATTAAAATAGTTTATTCAAGGTCTTAGGGCCAATGAAGAGAGGAATATAACATGCAAACCTTTATTTGTTTCAATTTCAAACTGAGTTCCTATGAAGGAAGAAGTATCCTTAAGCACTTCCTTACTGAAATGCTACTAACAGCTCCCTATTCCACACCCTTGTGTTGAGGGTAGAGAATGTTTTCTCTGTCTATATGCATTGCTCCCTTCTGCTTCCTAAGAAGGGGTCTGAAAGTTTACCTGACCCAGAAATGACAAAGAACAAATTGAGGAACAATCAGCAGCACTTATGTGATTTTATTTAGTGGAGGAAATAATTCACCATAAATTATCTTGGAGGTGTGTTCAAGCATTGGTCTTCACAAAAAAACCTGAAGAAATCTCTTGACAATGGACACATACTTCTATTTAGTTACTCATTTGGGTTTTTTTTCTAAGCAGTTATGCTGAAGTCCTTTTGTGAAACATTACAACATAGAAATGGAGACATTCCTGCCCGTCTGCACACATTATCTCTCTTCCCACTTCCAGTATTGTATTACAATGAGTCCTACTGGCACTCAAGAATCACTTGAGTTGTATTATCAAAATTACTCACTGAAGTTTCATAATGACTGAGCTAATTTACCAGCTTCCTGCTGCTATTCCACCCACACATTTCTGGATGTATGCTGCATTTTTTAATATTTTAACCTCTTGCACTCATGAACTGAGTACACTGAAAATAAATTTTAAAAAGTGAGAAAAAAACCCACAAATTAATGTCTCATGCTCAAGAGAATAGAGGAATCCCATTTAGCATAGGGAAAGTTTCTAAAGTTGGTGTCTCATGGCAAAGTCAAAACTAAAATGGGATTTAAACATCATTATTTTTACTCACATTGCCCAAACAAATGCAGGCAGTTGAATTTGCAAACTGGTCAGTGTGAATCATTAGTGTGAATATAATATTTCTAAACACAGTGCAAAAGCTCACAATTGTGAAGGGACTATTACTGTATCAAGATGATTTGTGAATTGCTAAGAATTGTTTTTAACACCATAAAATAAATACAAAGGGAAATACAACTTGCATAGTACTGATAATTTACTTTGGAAAAGTAATCAGGATGAAAGTGAATCCAAACCTTGGACATTTCTCTGCTGGACTCTGTCATACATACAAAGAGGAAAAGTTCAAATTTATTTCCCATACATTCAGTATTCCATTGCAGCTCCAATCCACTGTGCTCCTCCGGTTTCCCAGGCTTGACAGGACCTTCTGCTGTAAACCAGTACCTGCTTTTGTCAGCAGCCCAGCAATGCACACAGAGAGGAACAACTTGAAATCCGACACAAGTTTTACAGAGCAGAAAAGTTTAAAAAGAGAGAGGTGTGTTCAGATTTGATCCACAGGGAAATCATATCCACAAATGTGTTTTTGAGAACACCTGGCTTCCACTAAGAGGAAGACAGTTTTTCTCCTTTGCTATGTGTGCAAATTCAAAAGTAGTTAGGTAGTAGTGGAATTACTTCCACTTCAGTTTTTAACAAACAGTTTTTGATAGTCTTTGAGAGCAGGAAGTGAAAATTCATCCAGTAAGTTTTTACAATTCTCGTGGATCAGTTTTTAAAAAAATTAATTCACAGTTTTTTCTTTTTAAAAGGCATGAAAAACATAACATATCACATGTAGGCAATCAGTCATCATGTTAACAGTATTAAAAAAACCCACCACAAACAGAAAGGATCGTTCACACTACTGGTCCCCTGGTTATAAGGTATGCATGGCTGCAGACAACTTTTTAAGCAAAGTCAGAGATGGAATCAAGGATGAAGTATAAGGAGACAAGCATCTAAAACACAGATATTTTCAGGCCATCTGCTGGTGTCCTTTCATTCTTTCCATGGTGAACACAAACCATCATAAAACTCCTTTTCATTGCTTATGCGACATTGTTACAGGAACCTGCAATGGCTGACAAATTCAAATGTCAGAGTTCTCTTTAAAACCTGAGATCTGCTTGGCAATGCTTCAGGAAGGAGATCACTGCCACAGACAAGGATATTGATTCAAAATAAACACAATTAATTAAATTCAAATGTTCGTCTTTACAGTAAGAAGGGATCCAAAGAAATCACATCTCACAATTTCTAACACTGTCAATTACACAATTAAATAAAACACATGTATTTTTTAACCTCTCAGTAAAATGACCTGGTATTTTAAAAAAATATTAATCCAACCAACAAATCAAGGAAAAAGCCATGGTAAAACATATACCAAACCCATAAACAAATTAAAAAGACAGTTAACACAGGGCTTCAACCAGAGGAAGCATTTTTAAACTCTGAAAATATGAAAACATCAACAGTGCCCTTAGTTACATAGGTTATAGATTTATATATATAATCTAATCCTGATTTAATAATTAAAAAAATATATTTAAGTCTTCCTCTTACAAGATGACATAGAAATTTGATTCAAGTCCAGGACCTGCCTATATAGGATGACTTTTCAGTTAATTTCTCTATCAGACTTTTTCCATGGTTACTAACCAGCTCAGGGGATCCCACTGGTTTTTTGGGGAATAATACATCATTGTCCGTATGACGTATGTCACCTTCGTTTGAATTACGGGGAAAAAAATTCTCACACACGGTCTATACTGACAATGACAGAGATACATTCACCTTTTGTGCTTCTTGATAGAGCAAAAACTGCTGTTTTCCCTTCATCAATTTATCTGCCTCAGAATTTTCAGGAAAGCACTTTAGCAGTAACTTCAAGAATAGCTTTGGACCCAGAAATATTTTGAACCCTTCATCTGGGTCAGGAGACAGGCGCCTATGTGACAGAAGTTTGAAACCTGACTTACTTCAGCACCATGGAAAGAGTTGCCTGATTTCCTCATCACCTGTGACTGGTGGGTAGTAGCTCGTTCCAGAATGTCCCATTTTCCCTAACACAGAGCACTGGTGAAGCGGATGCCTGGCCCTTGGGAAGCCGCACGTGTCCGAGCACCAGCGAGCCGGCACTGGAGGCCTCAGCGAGTCCCTGTGACACAGCTGTGTCGGGCCTGAGCTTGGCTTGGCAGAGTCAAAGGACAGGAATCAGACATGCAGATTTCCTCCCAGATGAAATCATGCGCTGTAACATAAATATGCCTCCTCCCAGTCAATTTCACCGTGACAGAAGGGGTCCTCGAAAGTTCCTCATGTGTTTGTTAGATACTGAAAGAATGCTGGCATAGCCATTTTTGCCTTCACACGTATAGCAACAGGAAATTTTCAATCAGCCCGCTTCATAGCACACTATTACAATTAGCTTCTTTTCTTCATCACTGTATTTTATTTAAAATTACTTAGTTTTCAGAGCAACCACACCAAATAACTCTCTCTTAGAAAGAAGTATGTTACAGCTAAGTACATTTTCAAGCAGTTGACACTATTGGCCATTTGCATACCCCAGAATTTATTTGTATCCCGTCTCTGAAGATGTATTTACTTGAAAGGCAGTCTAAAAGATTTGGCTGTGGTCACAAGGAAATCAATGGCAGTCAAGAACAGAATAAATCTAAAGAGCCCTTGCTCTACCAATTAAAAATATGAAGTTTAGACATAAGAATACAAAATTTGGAATGTTGCACTGTCACAGCTCTTTTCATAAATTTAACACTTATGGTTCTGGAAGAGAATGTTTACAAAATAAAAAAGTAACACTGAGGCTTTAAGATGGCTCAGATTATTTGAGAACAGTAGGAAACTACAAACTTTAGAAATATCCCGAAGGACTTCATCTAAAAGCACCACTGCCAGAAATGTGGCATTTGGAAAAACAATGGCTCAGTGCAAATACTGATCAGAAATGCAAAGATAAGCACCCCAACCAACAGACACTACCGCCCTGTTCACATCTCTTTCTGCTACCGGCTGCACTAAAAAGGAATCTTTTCATTTTATATTACATTTCTCTTTAAAAGTATCTTATAAAACATAAATTTTGGAAAAAACCAGACCTAAAAGCCTGTTTATATTGCTAGCTTTTGAGAAAAGCAAAACACCTAATAACTGTCTGTTCAATTAAACCTCTATCACAAAATCAAAACAGATAAGTAATGTGTACCTTTTTATATCTACACGTGGGATTTCAGACCACTTTTCTCATATTACCCAAATAGGAAGTTTTCCTACTGTACACATTATATAAAGTGAGAGGCAAACATGTCTTCCCTACCTAAAAGAAGCTGCTTTTCATGGACATGGCAAGCAAGTTCACAGCCACTTCCACACAAACACAGCCACAGGTAAACACAGTAGTTTGAATTGAACTCCACTGAGTTACTTACATGTAAACAGAACCTCCTGAATCAAAACTAGCTTTAAAACAAACTCCAAAAACCCAAACAAAAAAACCCCCACAACACATGGTTTCATGTCATACCCAAAGCTGTATCTTTTCAGATTCATTTTGATGCATAAAGGAAAAACCAGAAAAGCTGAAACGGGGTAAATGCAGAATTCTGCACGTGTGATTTCTAGTGCCAAAAATTCACTACACCCTGAAATCCTTATGAGTAACGGGAAATGGCAGTAGGAGAAATGTTAAAGTTCCTTTACTATTTCACTACACTGCCGTTTGGAAGGTGTACGTGTTGAAATGGTGTCCCAGAACTATGCGTACGTTAACTTTATATAAAAACTCACCACATTTACAACCATATTTTGATTTAATTATTGTACACAGGTTAACAAAAACACTGGATTTAACAAAAACAATATTCAGAATGGTACAACACGTGTTCATCTTCTCCAGGAAATAGTATTACAAGTGATCATCTTAGGACAATTTAGCCACACTAGCAACAGAAGTTCTGTTAAAATGCAACTGTGGTCTACTAAGCCACTTATTTTAGCACTACAGAGTATTTGAAGTTAAGAGTCCTACGGCCAAGGCTTAAAAATTATTTAAGATTCAAACCTCAAAATGTCTTACAGTCAAAATGACAGTATTCTTAAAAAACCACAACAAAATAACCCCAAAACAATTAAAAGGCTTCTGTATTTAGTTTTATCTTCTTCATGGCATTCTCTATTCATATAGTTGCTTGTATCATTGGTAATAGGGTCTGTATCTGGCTTGATCAGGGTGATGTGGTCCAGGAAGTGGGGCCTGAGCAGGAGGCCCTTGCATCCTTGGAGGTGGAGGCGGCCCCCTTGGAGCTGGCCATATCCCTGGACTCATTCCCCCAGGCTGTGTGAAAGGGGGACTAAGAGTTCCTTGATCTTCACTGAACTGTGGCAAAGAGTTGGGATTATAGTGATGGGGAGGGGGTGCATTTACATTTACAGGTGGGCCTCCATGCTGAGGAGGGGGAGGTCCCGGAGGAGGATGGTTCATGTAGGGTGGCATCTGGGCAATGATGTGTCCGGGCGGCGGGGTTATGGGCGGCGGGGCGGAGGTCATTGGAGGTGGCGGAGCCTGGCTGTACACCATGTGAGGGGTGCCTGCCGCCTGTGGAGGGTGCTGGAGCGGGTGGCTGATGGGCGGAGGCGGCGGCGGGGGCGGTGCATAGTGCTGCTGGGGAGGCATAATGTGATGAGGGTGTGACACCACTGGCTGACCCTGGTACTCAGGATGATGGTGAGCAGGTGCGGGCGCTGGTGGAGGCGGTTCTCGAGCACCTGAATTGGAGTCATCCTGAATGGGGACAGTTATTAAGTTGCTGTGTTTCCTCGTTGAGATGCGGAAGGTGTCCTGACTGACCGGGCGGGGAGGCGGCGGAGCCATGGCCATCTCTGCAGGAGGAGCACGGATGTCTTCGTGGGGCTGGTTATAGTGCTCATGTGGGACATGCTGCAAGGGGGGCGGTGGCATCATGATGTGCTGCTTTGGTGGAATGTGGCTCATGTGATGTTTCTCCGGGGGCATTATGAAACGCTCGGGAATTTCGGCCGGTGGTGGGGCAATAGGAGGATGCACGGGTTCGATGGGAGGACGAGTAACAGGCTTCCCAGCTCTCATGTGACGGTGGTTGATGTGGGCTTGTAAGTCCCTCTGTGACAGGTAAGTTCTCTTGCATCCTTGAACAATGCTACACATGAAGAGAGATCCTCGTACACACTGCTCAATTCGCTGCACAGGTTCGTTACAGCTAAATAAAAAGAGAATATTGATTTATTTTCATTACAGAGAGCTCAACATGCATTCTTGCTAACATTAGCCAAATTAGAGCTGACAATTTTGCCCCACTGTAGCAATGAAAGAAACCGTTCAATGGTTTTTAAGTTTACCTAGTTTTTAAAACTTGAAATATAACTATGAAAGAACATAAAACTTTCATGAGGTATAATTTTTTAAGTAGCATCTCTCACACAAATTTCTTCTGTGCATTAAGACATAACACAGGTCAATTTCACTAAGTAAATCAAACTGCTATTAATTCATTCTCAAATTAGAGCAGTGACATGTTAGCTACCCAAAAACAATGTAAACACTGATCTCTTACGATCCCAAAATATGGAATAGGAATTAGAAAGTTCAGAGTACTCTACTGCCTCTGCTTAATGTACATATATAAAAGCCATGTTAGAGTATCTGAAATAACATATTTAAGTTACTTTCTTACATTTCCTTTAATAACAAATCATGAGATAACTTACCCTGGACACATCTTATCTCCCTTTTTCTCATGCAGTATAGCACAGTCATAGCAGAAAACATGCTTGCAAGGTATCTAGAAATAAAAAATTGCTTTTAAGACATCATGTATAAATATATATGTCATTCTGCAGAATACTGCTCCTCCTCCCTCCAGTGCACAGTTTATAATAATTAAAGTAACTAAGTTACCTATGAGGTGAACAAGCATAGCAGTGGTTAACAATTTACAGCATTTTTGCACAGAAACCTTCTAGAACAGTTTAGGCTGAGTTTGGGGGTTTTTGGGGTAGTGTTGTTTGGGGTTAAGTGTTGGTAAAAAAAACTGGCAGATGTTTGAGTCTTGCACTATTATCAACACTGAACTTTCACAGAAGCTGCATATGCAATCTGACTATACTTGTTTTGCTGGCAAGGAAGGAAAGTTTTAAAAGCATTAACTGTCATTAAGACAGATGCTGAAGCCTGTTACATCACATTTAGAAATCTAAATTAATCTCAGGGATTTTTAAAGGTACATGAAAGTGAACAGGGTTTTCTAACTTCACTGCAAGTCTTCAATTGAAATAAAAAGCCTATTTTCAAACCCAAGAGGTGTAAGGTGAAAATGCCAGAACTTGAAGGTTTTTTCCTTCGTGATGGTGTTCTGTTTTTTGTTTAATATTTTCAGGCTTACTTTATTGAATTGAGAAGCAGAGCAAAATCAGTCAGATAGACAGAACAAAAACACTTGAGCAGCGAAGGCCTCCAGTTCCATCCTGGTACTATTCTGCTGTTTATTCAGGTGCCTCTTGAAATCGGTAACCTCTAGAAGCTTCATACAGACACAGTAAAACCTTATTTTATCTAAAGGAAAACCATCTTCCATTGGCCATTTCACTCACCATGCGTCCATACATTTTGATGGGCAATCCACACTTATCACAGAAATGGACTGGTGTATCATCCTTTTCCCCCAGCAAGTTTATCTGGTAGGACAGAGAAGGGGGTGAAAAAACAAACCCCAACATCACTAAAGCTTCTCCTTTCAATTATCACCAACATACCCATTATTTCTGAATTAGTTGAAAAGGAAGCAAGAATACCACAAACAGGAGAAAGCAGCAGATACAGTTTTAGTCAGACAAAAATAACTGAAAAACCTTTAATTAACAAAGTATCTACCAGGACTACCTACAGCTTAGTATGAAACACAGGCAAAGACTCATGACTTTACCTTATAATCCCAAAAAATGGGTCCGGGAAATCGCCTTTGATTGCCAAACATTTCACCTCCTTTACATTCGTATCGCTCCTCTTTGTTATAATCAAATTCTTCTGTGGAAAGGAGAAAGAGAAGAAAGACACAAGCCAACCACAACACTTTTGTAATTGACACCAGCTGCTATTAAGAGCATGGACCATTTGTACTGAAATAATCAAATAATGCCACAGCACTTCCAGTCTGCTGAGCCCATTCTACAGAAAGGTAGAGCCAAAACAGTAAGACAGCCTGTTTTGGAAATGGGCACTGCTGAAGCCCTACAGTGCAGCAGTACTTGGAGATCTAAAACTTGTTTTGCATTTGGACAGAAACCTGGACTCTTAAGGCTCTTAGTAAAGTCTTGAACAACGCTGCAGAATAATACACTTCCCTACTACAGGGAATTTATATGAATTTACCTTCATCACCAGCTTGTGTCTTCGAAGGCATCCTGTTCATATTTCTTGGAGTTCGAGGTGCAGGTTTGGTTTTATTGGTCTGTTTTGAAATAAGCTTTATAGGGATTCTTCTACGGACATCAAGACCACCCAATGATCCTGAACTATTTGTTCCTTGCAAATCATTGTCTATGAAAGAAAATTTTAAAAAAACTTATCTAACTTTTCATTTATTTAGTAGTCTCTAAAGAGGCTAAATATTAACAGGAAATTTTTAAGAAAAATAATTTTTAAAGTTTGCTTAAGACTCATGTAACAAATCAAAATTTAATCACTAGAAAATAGGTATCTTCATATACAATTTATTCCAGAAGTCACATCACAAAAATGTACTGAGAACAGCAATGGTTTTAGGAAATCTAGTTTAAATATAAAGCTTTTCAAATAACCTAGCTAGCCATACATTTTTCCACAACAGAAACATTAACCTTATAGCTCTTCTCACAGTCTGAAGAGCACTGTAGAGTCAATTCTTTGTACAACTTTGGCTACACAGAATTTCTTATGTGAAAAGATAATTTTTAAAATTTATGTATATTGTTTATTAAAGTGGGAAGAAAACTAGTTTATATATTAACTCAGTATCTTGACATATCACTTCCAAGTTTCTTATAAAGTATCACAAAAATACTGATATTTAGGAATACATAGTTGTATCCTTCCCAAACTGAAAATTATTGTTCCTGGCTACATACAAAATTCTTCTTAACCAGATTTAAATCTAAGTATCAGAGTAATCAAAGCAAGAAATAGCCTGATGCATGCATCAGCAGGTACAGGCTCCAAGAGATAACACAGACCAGGTCATGCAACAAGCAACACTAATGAGGAGGTGCAACTCCCTCAACCTCCAGTGAGTTTATCCAAAACCACCATACAGCATCTCATTCATACAAAAATGAAGTTATGTCCTACACAAATCTTCCGACCTCACAGAGATTTTAACTAAAAATGCCACAGGTGTTTCAAAGCAGGACATGCTCAGTCTGGAAGGGGTAAGCCCGGAGCAGTTACAGCCCTGCAGTTCCCCAGGGAATGGCACTCCAGCCCTGGAATGACTGCTGAGGCCCCAAAAGATTGCAGTGCAGGAGCATGGACACTGAAATTAGGGTCCATTGGTGTAATTCTACACAATGCCTCACCAACTACTGTCTCTCAAAACCTACAACCACACACACAATGCAACACATGGAAGAAAAAAACAAGAAAAAATGGGATTGCTCTCAGTTTTTCACCAGCTACCACCATAGCTAGGAAATGTGTCTGTTTCAAACTGAGACTGTACCCTAACAGCCCTGTACCGCCAAATCAAAAGCCCTCAATTTCCTCAGATAGATCAAACTCCTCTTAGCACTATGGTTGACAGTTTCATTCTAAAAGGCAATATGCAAAAAGGCAAAAGCAATAAAGCTTGTTTTGACTTCTGGCAATTTGTTATTTCTTTCAGCTGTCCAGATGAACCTGCACTCAACTATCTCACCAGGCTTCCCCAGGGAGCACTGGACCAAGACATCAGAGGTGAAGCTGCTTGTTTTCCACGTGTTGGCAAATTCTGTTTTCTACAAGAATAACAAAACCACAGCACCATAAACCACAAACAGTCTCTGCAGCAACTCAGTCCATTTGTGAACAGGGATAACTAAACCAAATTTTAAAAATCAAAAACTTGGCACTCAAGTGCCAATAGGTTCTGTCACTTTTCCTCCTTATACCCTTTCAATCCAGGAACATTTACATGAATTACCTGCTCAACTAACCCAAACTAGCAAATGTATTAGTCACTCATGCTTCACAGAAGCATAATAAATTCCTGTCTGCATAAAAATAACTTGCAGGAAGGATTATGTCCAGAAAAAACTACGACAGACCTACCAAACTTTAAAGACTACTTAAAGAAGCTCTAATTAGAGGTGATGCAACCTACTGAAATGTCACCTTCATCAACTTAAGTTTTGTTTTTGCATTTTAAGCTTTATTAAAATTCACAAACACAGTTCAAATACTTCAAACACATACAGTCATAATGCAATCTTTTTTAAGGGACAGGGAAAACACCTCCAAAACCTCCCTAGCAAAAAGCCCACGTCCATTCACTTATTCACTGCACTACGCCAGCGCATTAACTAGCAAAGGAACACAGCTACGCCAGCGCGCTCACCGGCGAACATTTAAACCAAGAAACCAAATTTAAGCACACGAGGAAGTTTCCTCTCGGGCCACAACCATGGACTCAGCAAACACATTATGGGCACTGATGCCGGGAAACGCCGCGGGCAAACGAGCGTCTCTCCCCAACCTCCGGGACGCCACAGGCTGCATCCGGTGCTGCCGGGCCCGGGCACCCCGGCCCGGCCAGCGCAGTCAACGGCCGCCGCTCCGCTCCGCTCCGCCCGGGAG